TTAATGAACTACTATACAAAGCATGGATCGATGTTTCTTCTTTACAAAGAACGTTTGAATCCCTGACGTTTGAACGGTAATACAATTTACTTTTTATTTGTCCGATAATTTTTCAACTCAAAAAAAAAAAAAAAAACGCCATATCCTCATATCCAAAGGGAACAACCTTCCAATAATTGCGCAATGTGAATGGCCTATGGCTTTACAGAGTCAGTATAATACAGTTACCAATCAAAAAAGTCAATTCTGGTCAGGCAGTGAGCTTGAGGAAAAGATATAATTAAGAAAAACTTGTTTTCATGAACTGCAAAGGTCTGGATCCGCCCCTGCAGGCCTAGATTTCAGTTAACCTTGCACTGCATCACAGCAATTCACAAGTCTCCTAAGAGCTTGGCGATAGCTACTAGTAAAGGTAAGGCAGATAATCGGGTTGATAGCACAGTTTGTGCAAGCCATTAAAAAGGCGACTTCATGAGATACCCAAAACTTACAATCCAAATGGTTTTCGGGTACAAAAAAAGATGTTACTAACTGAATGGAAAAGGGTATCCAGCAAATGAAAAACGCTACAACGATAGCAACGGTCATCTTGAGCACTTTTCTGTTTCTTCTTGCTCTCTGTTCCTCAGCGGTGGCTGATTGTTCACCTGGATGGGCTTGCTTTTTAAGCTTGATCAGGATGATGGAGTAAAGTATCATCAAGACGACGAAAGGGATGTAAAAGAACAAGATAGAAGCTGATAGGAGGTAAATACCAAATGAGCTTTTCTCTCCGAAGATCACCTCCCACTGATTCATGCACCTCTTTCCTTCTTGGTATTCAAGAAGATTGTAGGTAAACAAATATGGCCAACCAAAGGGCACTGCGAGTATCCATGTACCAACAATCAAACAGCGACACACCTTGCGGCTGATGAGGGGTGAACGTAGTGGAACTTCAACAGCTGCATATCGATCCACTGTTATCAGAACCAGGCTCTGAATCGACACTACCATGGAAATTTCAGCGAGAAAAGGGCGTATCTTGCACAAGGCCTGACCAAGGGTACCACCAATAAGCCACGAGCCAAAGGCCAACTCTGCCAAAAAAAGGGGGAACATGAATATTGGATAGAGCAGGTCAGACATGGCCATGTTTGCGATCAACATATTTATCGGTTTTCTTAAAGTTGGTGTTTTGTAAACAGTTAATACGATGAGAGAATTTCCAACCAGCGAGACTACAAGGATTAAACTATAAGCAACTGTAGCTCCAACTTTTAGTGCTTCTGGATTTATCAGACTGGAGCAGCTCCAGGAACTTGATCCATTTGCTGTTGTGTTCATGCTTACTGGTTCTTCGGCAGGTCTTTTCGCTTGAAAACAGCTTGTGGCGGTTCTTTGTCCTTTATATTCTACCAATTATTGTGTAAATAAAGGCGTAGCCCCTGCAAGCTCTCTCAGATGGTACCTAAAATAAAGAAAATGCAAATATTATTCCTGACCAAAAGGAAGTGGCAATAATGATGCTATCATTATAGATCCATTTTATATTGCATTGAATTGAATACACAATAACCAACAATTATTCCACCAGAGCGCGCGTTGGATACTTGCCTATACATGTCTCGTTGGGCAAAAAATTATCCCATATCGAGGAAGCGGTGGAATGATTGTTTTATTAAAAACACCCATAAAATATCAATGATCGATTCTTTCCGAATAAAATATGAAAATACGAATAAACCGAATGAGACACTAGAAACTTCCACATTAGTGCCACATGTCTATCACAATTTTTTCTTTTGCTTCAACACCAAATTAAGGGACGGGTTGATGAATACTCATTTCAAGAAAAGGCCACAAATAGTTATGATCTGCGTGATCATTAACATTTATGGTAGCACACCTGTTCGTAGTTGATATACTATTTACTCTCACTCCCGCCCAAACTTTCCTTTTGCCCGATATCTTGACATACGCACGCTGACGCATGAACTAATTGTCAAATAAACATTAACTTTCGCCTCTATTTGTTAATGACGCCAACGGTATAAAGTCATATTTGTATTAATTGGCATTTTTCTATGACGATGCAACTTCGTCTTCTCGTGTGAAAATGCGCTAATCTCCTATCCTGTGCATTTGTAAAAGACTAAGACCCCAACTGAAAACCAACCTTTGTTTTTTCATGAAAAAAAAAAAAAAAAGAAAAAAAAAAGTTAAAGGAAAGACCGCAGCTTCCCAAATAAAGCTAATCTTTAAAGACCACCAATTGCTTTGTTATAGCGATTTTATTTTCGAATTTCTTCATATTGACCGGTCTATGTTTAAAAGCTGTTTAGTCAAACACGGCATAATTTTTTTTCCTTCATAAAAACATCTCTAATAGGTTGATGGAAACTTTATGCAAATTACAAAACGCGTTGAATTTTATTACCGCATCTTGTGTAAAAATTCTGTGTTCCTGTTTTTCGTGTCCATTTCCATTTTTAAAGACATAGTTTAATTAATCATGTTTAGTTAGTTTGAATGGGGAACCTAGACAAGTCATCTACCCCTTCTACAGAGGACTTCCTTACGGCAATTTTGTTTTTGTGTGGTTGTTTTAAAAATAACTGTAAATGATACCACTCAACCATCACTGCTTTAGTCTTTAATGACGCCTACTTTTGATGAAATATTTGAGGAATATTGTATATAAATGCAAATAACAATTTTAAAAAATGAATTGAGTTCCAGATCGGGATATCCAAAGGGATAGTTTTAGCCGATCGCAAAAAGAGGAATATAGTATTGATGAGATGCTCTTGTTGGCATTTAAATATATATTTTTGCCGACATCAACAAAAAAATGAGCAAATAATTTTGAAACTGCTTAAAAGATTTTTAAAAGATGATATTCTCGTTTACCGTCGTTTTATACGAACTTATTGGAAATTTGTGAGACTTTAAAATAAGGGCTACAATGTGCTTATTTTCTTTTTTGTGGGAAATTATGTGTTTAAAATACCCTGCGAGGAGAGATTCTTTCTGGTCTGGCATGGCTTTTAGCATTTACGACTGTCTGTCCTGTTTTTGTTAGTCGTGATACACGATCTTTGAGTGTAAGAGATATGAATTTTGTACTTTACAAAGAGTGTTTGAATCCCTGTCGTTTGAAACGGTTACAATTTACCTTTCATTTGTTCCACAAGTTTTCAACTCAAAATAAAGGAAGCCAAAGGAAAAAGATATCCAAAGGGAACAACCTTCCAACAATTGCTCAATGTAAATTTAAAACGCATTTTTTTTTAATATAATCACACTAGGTGTCACTATTCTTTAAATTATTATAATGCGGGTGATAGGACTCCTCATTTACATCGCTATGTACTCATTAGGAATTCCCTTCTGCATTTCACAATATTCGCCTAAAATAATAAATGTGAATGGGGAAATAAGGTTTAGAAAGAATTCATTCCCAAGCCTACTACTGTGGTCGAACTTGATTTGCATTATTTTTCTTTCTTTTTTTTTTTTGGAGGGGGGGGGGGGGGCACAAAAAAAAGGCCCCCGGTCCACACAAAAATTCATTGGGCTGGTTTTTGTCCTCTCCCCTGTTTACGCTGTGCTTTTTCCTCGAGAACTTAAATAATGTATATAAAACTTTTTACTGTGTAATAAAATAAAAGCATATAATTATTTTTAAATTTTTTTTAATGGGGGTTTAAGAACTCCTCATTTTATTTCTTTTTAATTATTTTGTAATTCCCTTTTCATTTTAACATATTTCCCCTAAAAAAAAAATTTTAAATGGGAAAAAAAGTTTAAAAAAAATTTAATTCCAAAACCAATAAAGGGGGGGAAATTTATTTTCATTTTTTTTTTTTTTTTTTTTTTTTTGGGGGGGGGGGGGGGCTGCAAATAAAAGGCCCCCGTGCACACATAAATTCTATGTGATGTGTTTTGGCCTTCCGCCTACTTACGCTGTGCGTTTTCATCGAGAACTTATAGTATCGATTTAAAACTTTCTTGAGTGGATCAAAATGAATGCATGCACATCGTATTGTAGGGACGATCAAAACGGTCAAAAACGTATCAAAATGAAAACAATGACGTCATATGCACTATGTATATCGCAGGCGCGTGTAGCATGCGCATAGAGTTCAGCTTACATCACAACATGCAATTCTATCGCTTTCAAACGTCTTAGCGGTGGACAGTCGAAAACGCATCAAAACGGTAGTGTGGACGTAAATCGATCGATGGATTATCGATTACATCGAAAGTTACTCTTTAGTTTGACTTCTTAAGTCTGTTAGCTCAATGGGAAATTTATTTAAAATAAATTCTGTTAAAGGATATTTCTATAACATCACTTAACTCCTCCCTCCTATGGAGGACTCCTAAAGTCAAGCATTACAATAGCTTAAAGTTTATTACCGCTGTACCTTTACTATGAGGCCACATCAACACGAATCCGTGTATGCTGGACCCGCATTCTTGAAAATTGCGTCTACACGACTTCAGTGTGGCGTATCCGCCGTTTGGATTCACTCATCCAGACTAATACGCTGCTGGCGACTTACATTCATTTTCTAACTACTAGTTAGTAAGCATGTGCAAACAGAGCCTGCGATGTGATTTCGCGACATTTCTGAATGTTGTTGTAGCTATATCGAACACAATGGCCAGTCCTGCCAATACGTTGTCTCAACTGGCACTTGTTTTGCGTTAGACGAACATAAAATAGACTTTGACAAAGTTCCGGCCTTCGTCTCTAACTTAAAGATTTCATAATCAGAATGAGATTGTGTCTTCGATCTTTTGAGATGGATAATTGTTGTCGTCAAATTAACAGAATGCATGATATAAGAATAGCGATAAGAGCAAGCAAAGTTAATAATAATTTATTTATTACATTTAATATAGCGCTTTAACTATTAAAATATTCTAAAGCGCTTTACAATATGTACAAGAAAATAAATATATATATACAATAAATGGACAGAAACAATAATAGTAATAAGAATATAAAATTACAAATTACATGTAAAAGCTTTCTTAAAAAGATAAGTCTTCAACTGTACTTTAAAAGAGTCAATTTTCCTACAGTTTCTAAGGCTAGATGGCAAAGCATTCCATACTGTTGGTCCAGCATGGAAAAAGGCTCGATCGCCAAAAGTCTTCCGTGTCACCTTAGGGATTACAAGCAATGTTTCAGAATCAGAAAGCAGGCTGTATCTAGTTCTAGGCTTTACAACAAGATGTTCAGATAAATATTGTGGTGCCGGGCTGTTCAACGTTTTAAAAACTAAAAGCGCACTCTTAAATTCTACTCTAAATTTCACTGGCAACCAATGAAGTTCCCTAAGCACCGGAGTAATGTGGGCAAACTTAGGAATTAAGCATGTAACCCGAGCCGCAGCATTAAGAACTTTTTGAAGTCGGTCATATTGATATTGCGGAAGCTTCTGCAAAAGAGCGTTGCAATAATCTAAATGTGATGTAACAAACGCATGAATTAAACACTTTGTTGATTCTGCAGACAAATATTTCCTAATTTGCCTAATATTATAAAGCCCCCTAAATGCCTTATTACACACCTTTCCTATATGAGTATTCATAGACATATGGTTATCAAACCATGTGCCAAGATTTCTAACATGCTTAAGGGGTTGAAGCCATGGTAACCTTAGATAACTGCTGCGACGAACCGATGATTAGAAATTCTGTCTTTGAATCATTAAACATCAACCTGTGTGAGACTAACCAAGCCCTCACATCAGCTATACAGTTCTCAATAGCCTTAATCGCTTGATCTTGAGCAGCAAACGAATCTGGACGAAACGACACGTACAACTGAGTATCATCAGCGTACCCATGAACTGATGGAAGGTGCTTCTTAACAACCTCAAACAGCCTTGATGCATACAATAGAAAAAGGACAGGTCCCAAACAGCTCCCCAGAGGAACACCATAATTTAAATTGAAGGTCTTGGAGGATTGCTGATTAACAATTACACGTTGTACCATTCCAGTCACATAAAATCTAAACCACTTCAGAACATCACCGCAAATTCCAAAATCTGATTCCAGGGTGTTAAACAGGATGTTATGATCAACAGTGTCGAAAGCGGCACTAAGATGTAAAAGAACAAGAAGAGTTACTTCCTGTTTTGTCCGTTTTGGAGAGTATATCACTCTGGACTTTAAGAAGAGCCATCTCAGTTGAATGAAACTGACGATAGGATGACTGATGAACTGGAAGTGGAGCATTATTGGAGCAATGCCGGAAAAGCTGACCCACAACTGCCTTCTCAGCTGATTTGGAGACCATAGGCAGATTACTAACCGGCCTGAAGTTCTTATATACTAGTTCAAGTCCCAATTTCTTTAACAACGGTCTAATGAAGGCAGCTTTCCAACTGTCTGGAACTTGTCCCTGTTGAAGGGATAGATAAATCATTTTAGTTGTGACTGAAATTAATTCACTGCCACACAGTTTCCACAACCATGTCGGTATCGGGTCTAACTGACAACTAGCATTAGAAGAGCCCATAATAATATCAGACACTTCTTCCTCGGAGAGGACATCAAACTTCTCAAACTTATTCTCAGGTGTAGGAACATTTAGAACGGGTGGAACAACAGCAATAGCATCAATATCATTTCTAATTAGGTCAACTTTCCGGCAAAAGAACTCTCCAAAATCATCAGCTAACTTGCAGGGATCATCATGGGGAGGGAGCTGATTTTCCTCAGGCTTATTAGACAAGGATCGTACAACTTGAAACAGTTTTCTTGTATCGCCACCACATTCTTCACTGAGATCAGAGTAATACCTCTTCTTCGCATTCTTCAGAGACATAGAGCAGTTATTGCAAACTTCCCTATAGGCATCCTTATCCTGCTGTGATCTCGATTTCAAAATCTTCTTTTCTAGTTTTCTCCGCGATATTTTGAGTTTTTTTAAGTTCCAAACTGAAACACGGCACTCTCGGTCTTACAGTCAGAATCTTGGTATTCACGGGGGCGTGTTTATCCAAGATTTGTGACAAAGTGGTATCATAACACTGAGCCAGTTCTTCGAGGCTTGTCCACTGTGAATTGCACAGAACAGATGATGCAATGTCCGATCTGAAATTACCCATATCCTGATCTGTTTGAACTTCCGATAAGAGACTTCCTTGACCAGCATATTAGGACCAGGGATAGATAAAGGACATTCAGTAAAGCAATGATCAGAAATGTAGTATGTCGACTTCGGAGGCAATACATTAATGTCATTAGACGACCGTGAGATGATAACATCGAGTGTATGTCCAGAAACATGCGTAGGGGTGGTAATATGTTGCAATAAACCAAACGTATCCATGAGTTCCATGAACTTTCTGGCATCAGCATCACTGGGATCATCAAGATGAAAATTAAAATCACCAGAAACTAGCAAGACTTCAGGACATAACACAGTAGTTTCCAAAAAAGCAGAGAACTCTTGGAAAAATACACTTGCTGGTACAGGATGTTCCTTAGAATAAGGAGGACGATAGACGACAACAAGCGAAGTTGCAAACAGAACATTGTAGAGTCATCGTAATGTCCACCATTTTGAACTCGATAATTTTCATTTAAGACTACACTCGCGTTTATGACGTATTTGACATCAAAAATACTCAGTTTTAGTAGTCCACACGAAATAACCAAACCCGTCGGATCCAAAAAAAGAACTCCATTTTTGGACAGCGGTTTCAAAATATGCGGTTCACTGGTTTTGTGTGGCGGAACTCGGCTGATTCGTATAAACAAGTACGCGGTTTCAAAAGTATCCCGATTCGTGTGGACCGGTTCTTAGTATATACACGGAGGCTTCGCTTTTAGCCTTTTATTGCCATAAAATTACTGAGCACTCGCACTTGTGCGTCTCTTGGCTGCAGTTAAACTTGCCTCGGTACTGCACTAAGGCAGGAACCCTTAAGAGCATGGCGATAATTGCTGCTAAAAAGGAAACAAGTGATTGGGTTGATTACACAATACGCGCAGCTAAGAAAGGAGCGCAGATAAGTGTATATGTCTGAACTACAGGAATAGTACTTTGTAACACCCGTGAGCAAATACGAAAAGATATCAACGCGTTAATGACGTAGGGGGTCCAGCAAACAAAAAAAAGCCAACACAATAGCACTGGTCATCTTAAGCAGTTACTGTTTCTTCTTGTCCTCTGTTCCTCAGCGTGCGTTTGGCTGAAAATAACAACAAAACTGTCTTAATAATCTGGGTTTTTGAAAATCATCCCTCAAGTATAAAAGGACAATCAAGCTTAGCTAGCCAGAAATTAAAAAAAGCTTTGCCATCCACATTTCAGTTTTTAAAAAATCTTGGAGAAATGAAAGGGAACTTTGGCTAAAGCTTATTTGTAAGAGTTGTCTTGTAGACAGGAGTTAGCCTAGCTTTTTTGAAGTTTATGGGAAAGACGGCGTCATAGACTGAATACTAGTGTTATATAATGTTAGCTGAGCTTTAAGAGAAATCGCCGGCAGGGCCAGTTTAATGATTTTAATCCCAAAACCATCCAGACCCGTAGCTTTGTTTCCCCCTATACGCTTTATGTTCTCTTCAACTTGTTTGGTAGTCGTGAGAGGAACATTGAATTGCGTAGAATCATCTATTAGAGTTTTGAAAAAATCCAAAAGCGTGGCGTTCATGTCAGCTTGTAAATCGTCGTCTGCTGAAGCAGCGGAATTTGCAGAAAGCTGTATTTTGGTGAGGTTATAGTTGAAGGCACTTGCCATGGAAAGTGGATCTGTTATTTGTTGGCCATCTATTTCAATGTAAGAAAGAGACGAAGGAGTCTTCTGTGTTGGTGCTGTTTTTTTTTTTTTAAGTGTTTTCAGTGTCGTCGTGGGTTGTTCATATTCTCCATAATTTCATTTCTCATGTGCGCTGACTTCAGCATTCGCAATCATTTTGACAACTTGATTCCTGGACCTCTTGGCTCGCTAGGATAAAACAATGACTTTATCTCCAGGTTTGTGACATAAAAGGTAATTTCAAGTATCGAATTGGATCAATTGTTTATAAAAACATTTTTTGCCGATAAAGGCAACGCTCACCCGGGGATGCAAGGTCTTTCACGAAGAATTTATACCCCCCACTTTATACATGATGTCGAAGGTAAAGTTTATTGAAGACCATGTATTTTACTTTATCTACCGTTTGATTTCTCGCTTTTAATCACTTCATAAATCGTTTCCTGATGACCCTAAGATAGTTTTGTTTCGAAATTTTGTGGAATAAAGCCCGGGATGAGACTCTTTCGTTGTGAGCTGAATTGTAACAACTTTTCACGCTACAATAATCTTTGTTTACTATTTTACAAAACTGCTTCAGTGTCTTTCGGTGATTAGTCGTCTTCTTGCTTGGCCTCGTTCTGGTGTCAAGATGCATCTGTGTCGGCGCGCGAAAAAGGCGAATTAACCTAACTTCCACCGGCAGGCACACTGTTTTTCTGAGAGCTTCAGGCGACTACACACTTTTGCGCCTTAGCTGAGACTCATCAATTGTCTCTACAATTTAAGACCGCGGTTCACTGGCCTCTTATTTTACTTCTGCTGAAGTCCTGGACTTGGTTCGTGCCAGGAACATGGGTATCTGCTCTCCTTGGTTTAGTTTCAAAGTTCGCGCGGTGTCAAAGTTCGCAGGTTGTGAGAACATAGTTTGGATTTCATTTAAGAGAATGTATGGGAAGTAGTTCCCCCCCCTACTCCCCCCCCTGGTACAAATATTCTATAAGGCAGTGACAATGATGCTTTCAAAAGAAATCCATTTGATGTTGCATCGCATGTTAAATAGAGGTTATGACAAGGCGGAATATGGATTCTATTCAGATTAAATTTACGGTCGTCTGGTCGTCCGAGATGACCATAATCTCGTTTGGACGAGTATGATAACACAAAAACTCGTCCGATGGACTACTAAATTGAGAGAATTTCTTTTTTATTATTTGACAACCAAGGCTTGCCTGCAGTTTAGCTTTCCACCAAGCACAAAGTGCTTTAAATAGAAAACAAACTAGATTGTTATGTAGTTTGTAAAGTTTTATCGCTGGACGCTTTTTATAAGGTTCAATAAATGTTCCCATACATCACCTACCCACTTCAAAATCAATGCTCTGAAGGCACAATTCCATCCGCTGAACCACTGCACAGGGTGTGCCTCAGGGATCAGTTGTTGGGCCGATATTATTTGTTCTCTTCAGCAACAATCCGCACCTGCATGTCACCAATTCGGATGTTGACATTTATGCTGATGACTCCACATTTACTTTTAGCTCGAGGTGGAGTGCTAACAATTCATTTATGGAGAAGAATATCAATGAGGAACATGTAAATTGGTCTAAAATGAATAAAATGGTCATCAGCCAAACCAAAACAAAATCTGTGTTAGCGGTGGGAAGGCGATTACGGAAACGTTTGGACAGTACTGAAGCGAATCTGAATGTCTCTTCGAATGGGGCTATTGATCATTGAACAGGTTAAAAGACCAAGATCTTGACTTCGACGCTCAATCAGATGCTCTATGTAAATCGTTATCAAAGAAAATTGTACTTCTGAAGCACATTAGTCCATACTTA